TTGGCTTCTGGCCCTGGGGCCGCTTGAGAGAGGAGGTACCCAGAGACCTAGGGTTGGGGGGTGCTCCTGGAGCAGACCTTTGATGCCATTGTGGCCCTTCCAAAGATCCAAGCCCAGCTCCTGCCTGCCCTAAGCAAGCTGGCGTGGTCAGTACAGAGACTGGGGGCAGGAAGAGACCCAGCGTGCTCCACTTCCCACATTGTAAACCACACAAAGATCCCACACTTCTCAGACAGCTCCGTCTCTCTCCCTGCGACACCGCCTCTCTCCATTACCTTATTCTTAAGTGTAAACAGAATACATGATCATTTTAAAGGCCTTTAGCACCTTAGAGTCCTTTGGTCCATGCCCTGCTTTTCTAGACAAACGAATCCATCAAGATAAGGTGCTTGACACTGACACCGAGGTCGCACCGCAGCTAGAGGGGCAGCCGGAAGCCGTCTTTGGATGGCCTTGCTCAGCCCCACAGGTGGTATGGCGGGTACGTCCAAAAGACCTGCTCAGGCCAGATTCTCACATTCGTTGCTGTCCTGTCTGTGTTTTCAGGGAGATGCTCTCAGGTAGTCCCAGGCAGAGTAGAAGCATGGGGGTGGGGCTGGGGTTTTGGAGCATGGTTACTGCAGAACAAAAAGAGTTAAGATGAATTCCTCTGGGAGTTATAAAAGAAAAAAAATCAGGATGATTTTGTTGAGAAAGATGGAGTGATGTTACTGAGTGCTGAGCATACACCTGTCACGAACTAAAATACTCCTAGCAATGACTTGGGGTCTGAGAGAAGAACAGCAGGTTCTCCAGGATGTCTTGGGAAATGTCTTTTGCAGCCACTCCCTCCCCGCAGCGACCAACCCGCCCCCAGCAGATGGAGGTGAAGGCAGGGCAGGGCAGGTCAGCCCGAGAGCCAGATCCCTGCAGGAGCAGATGAGACTGCTCCGTCTGCTCTGGGGATGAGGAGGAAGGACCACCAAGGCGCCCTCAGTCCCCCTCACAGGGCTTCCTGCTCAGGAGCCGGGGTCTCCTACATTAGCCTTTCTTCTCCAAAGTGAACAGATGGCACCGGGAAACAGGGCAGCAGGGTGGGAATTGCGTGGCCCCTGCAGTCACACCTGGTCCACATCCCAGCAGAGGCTCAACTGCCCACTTGGGACCAGTCTCAAACTCTTTGAACCTGTACTGCAGAAAGTGGAGATGATAAAAATCCTCCTTCTAGTGTCACCGTGAAGGTTAAGGAAGGTAATTCCAGAAAGCTCGTGGCACATAGTAGGTGTTCAGGAAACGTGTGTTCCCCTCTCCCCACTTAGGGGCAGGACTGCATTTTTGTCACCCCAAGGAGATATCATCTCAAGGCAAGACAAACTCCATGTAAACACTGTCACTTCTCTTTACTAGTTCCTGGCTTTTGCAAAGCTATGTGGCATTTACTCCAAACTGCTGTTGCTTAACCACTGCTGTTCCCCTAACCCTCCAGCCAGTACTGTGTATTCAGAACCACCCTGTGCTGTAGGGAAAAAGAAATACCGCCTGCGCAGCAAATCCCTGTGATCAACTCTCACCTGGGTAAAAAGCCTTTTGAAGAGGAACTGCATGGTTCCTATATTTACCTTAAAAAAAAAAAATCCCTCTTTGAGCAACCTGCCTGCTAATTTTAAAGTGTACTTGGCACCGATTGTCTCTCCAGTCCTCTTCCCTCCCACAGCTCCCTTCCTGTGCTTTATTCACCTCTCACCTGCATAGGAAGTCATGGCCCCATAAACCTGAAACCCCTCCTCATCCTCAGCCTGTTTGGGGAAGATAACTGGTCTAGTGGAGCCATTGACAAAGCCTGGTGTTGGTGGCTGCTTGACTTCCCCACCTGCTTGTTGATTCTTTCAGCTTCAAAAAAGCCCTTGGAAGTGCTTTTACTGTAAATATTTGAAGTGTGTGTATGGGGGTGGGGGGTGAAGTCCAGATTCTCACCCCCCTATCTCGCTCGGTCCCGGGAAGCCCTTCCGTCCACATTTTGCAGGCTGCTGCTGGTGGGGGGAGAGAGACGACATTTCACTTCCTCCCTGCCTGTGGCTGGCCAGGCTCAGAGTGGCTCAGAGTGGCTCAGACTCGGGATGACTCTCAGTCCCCAAGGGCTTTCCGGAGCCGCGGTGGGTGGGCCCCAAATCCTGCATGCCCATGGGCATCCCTCGGCAGAGAGGAAGAGCTTCGTCATCGAGGACCCGCTCGATGGCACGTGGGTGAGTCTCACGTGAGTCCCTCAGGCTGGGCGCGCACAGACGCTGCCCTCTCCGCCTTGACCCGGGAGGGGGCTCCCAGCGAGGATTTGTGGAAGCAAAACTCACACTCACGCGACACTTAGGCACACACGCCCCCCACACACCCGAAACGCAGGGACTTCCCAGAGGAGATAAGAAGGCTCGACCTGCAGAGGGCTGGCCCCAGGGTCACAAACCGCCCCTGCTGCGCCCTGCAGACCCAGGTGCAGGGAGGGCTTTTGGAAACGGAACGGTCTTCAGCGTGCTGAGGTCACTTGCAGAGCGGCCAGATCTGGGCACCACGTGGGCACTGCGGGCTCTCGAGGCACAAGTGGAGAAACCCAAGAGTCGACGAGGAGGCGGCAGAGGACGCGCACTGGCTCCAGGAGACGCGAGCTCAGAGCTGGGCAAGGTGTCTCGGGAGCCGCGCTAGGGTGACCGCGGGGCGCTGGCGGAGACCCGCGGT